CCCCAAAACCCCAAAACCCCAAAACCCCGATAAGTGTCGGGATTCAATGAGAGAACACAAGTGGTATTTCTACGTAATAAATATAAGATTCAAATAGGATCCTAAATATATAAATAATATTTAAGTATTTAGTTATGAGAAATTATAACAAGCTCTTCACTCTAGCCTGTCTACTGGCTACAACCTTATTCTCAGCAACATAAGCTAATTTGCACCCTGGTATCACTGGATCTATTGATCTTTCGCTCTTTGAGGATGCCAAAGATGCATATTTGGCCAATATCATTGACTCCTTGAATGGATTATCTCAATTTGACTATGATCTTCCCAGGAAGCAAGGATTTATTAAGAACAACACTATCCATATCACTGAAACTCCCTCTGATGTTAAGCTTTCAACCAGCGATAACAACGTTTTCAACATCGAGATAAGAGATTTAACTGTGAACTTCGTCAGTCAATTCTTCAGATACAACCTCTGGTTCATCCCAGTCAAGGGTTTCGCTAAAATCAAGATGAGCAAGGTCAACCTACTTCTCTCAGTTCAACTTACCACTAAAACTGAGAAATCAAGAACCCTACTTCAATTCAATGTAGTCAAAGCTGACTTGTAACTTGATTACAAAAGACTTGATTTTGATCTTGGCGGTGGATTTTTGGCAGATTTCATTGACATCTTCATCCCCCTCTTCAGAAAGACCATCAGTGGTGATATTGAGCGCAGCGTTGAAGCCCAATTAAAGTCAGATCTTCCATAAAGACTCAACTAGGATTTGATTACTGATAACGGTTTCCTTGAGCCATGGAAATTCCCAGCTTTCCAAAACATGACCATTGATTACAGTGTTGAGGTAAATCCATCTATTAACGGCACATATCTCGGAGCAGGTTTTAATGGGACTGTCTTCAACAAAGGCATGCTTCATTACAAGCCAGTATCAGACCCAATTATGATGCCATTCCACAACTACAAAGTAAAGTCTAGAGTTCAATTCTTCATCTCAGAGTACTTCTTGGAAACAGCTGCTCATTCTGCACTTCAAGACATGGCTGTTGGCTTCTTCATTTCCCACAAAATTGTTCCAGAATCATTACCATTCGATTTGACTACTACTGGACTTGAGAGATACTTTAACGGCATGGAAGCTACTTTCGGAAAAGATGTCCCAGTAGATCTCAACTTCACCTTAGCTGATGTAAGAGATTTTGAAATCGTCAGATCAAAGGAAAAGATCATCGCCAGTGTTGACTTCGCGATTGACTTTATTGTTGCCTTCGAGGACGGAAGAGCCCCAATTTCTGCTGGAAAGATTGAATTCAACAGCACAGTTGTAGACTTCTCCGTTGATGTTAAAGGAAAGAGAGTTACTATGGAAATAAACGACATCGACATTGAGAAGATCTTCATTGAATCAGATTATCTAGGTAACCTAGATGTGAGCATTCTAAAGGTGTTCTTGAATTTCGCTCTTAACGAAGCTATTCCTTTCTTCAACTTCCTCTTCGGTGACTACTACGTCGATCTACCAGAAGTCATCTTTGGATTCTTCGGTATTAAGGACATCTCATTCACCTACTACGACCATTACTTAGAGTGTGGTATCTCTCCAAAGTTCCTCCCACTAACCTCATAAAAGAAGTTGTTCGATTCCTTCCAAAAGTTCAACTACCTATTTGAGGAGAAAGCTTTCTTATAATGAAGAGACTTAGAGCGATTCAAATTATTAAAGCTCTACATATGAATTTGTGTGTGAATCAATCATTCAGTCATATCAAAACAGAATAGCTCTGAATGATTAGATCCTTAATTTCTAGCTAATTCTTATAATTTCATAAATTTATTTGAAACATAAATAATATCAAACCAAAAACTATATTGATAATTGATCTGGGGTTTTGGGGTTTTGGGGTTTTGGGG